TTTTTCAACTCTGGAAGGTGTTTTAACACAAATTCTTGCATTTACAATTCTCCTTGGAATTATCCTGCTCACATGGACTCCAGCATTCTTTAGACAAAAAACGGAGGTCCACCTTGCACTACTGAAATGGCACATCTAAAGAATGCCTACCTAGGATGCAACGGGGTCTAAGACCATCTAAAAAATCATGGCCCAGGCAACCAACTACAACAAATACAAAAAATACACAAAAAACAAATACAAAAGTAAACCTCTAAAAAATAGGGCGTCCATGTTAGCCATGCGGACATCAACAAACATAAAAAACACCAAACGTACCCAAATGATTCCTTTGCACACCGGAGATGAAATTTGCCCTTCTTTTGCCCATGCCAGATTAGCGGCTTCTGTTTTTGTCATGGCAGAAGCTTCTGCCAAAGCATTGTCTTTGGCTGCCTCCTCTTGTTTCATTTTTCTGGTTTGATCAAAATTGATTGTAAACAACATATCCCCCTTTGCATTCAGTCTTTGACCCGGGTGTCCGGTTCTTTGGTGGAGGGTGCCATTAAAGAATGAAGTCCTGCCTCCGGACACGATGAGTTTTGATGGATCTTCTAAAGACAACTGGTGTTATGCCTGGGGATCTTGGGGATTTCCTGGGGACGCCTGGATATGAGACCTGGACTGGGTTCGATCTGGCGTTTTGATTCTTTATAGGCTCAGGCCTGTCGACCCTACAACTTGGGATATTTTGGGGAGGGTGCCACTAAAGAATCAGGTCCTGCCTCTCGACACAGGGAAGGGTGTCCTTAAAGAATCAAGTCCTGCCAAAACACTGTTTTTTCTGAGCTGGTGTTTTGATTCTTTAGAGGCTCAGGGCGTGTTGACCCTGTAAAACCTTGCAGTTTTTCACAGTTTGGGGTATTTTTTGGGAGGGTGCCATTAAAAAATAAGGTCCTACCTCCGGACACAGTGGGTTTCGATGGATCTTCTAGAGACAATTGGTGTTATGCCTGGGGATCTTGGGGATTTCCTGGGGATGTCTGGATATGAGACCTGGACTGGGTTCGAGCTGGCGTTTTGATTCTTTAAAGGCTCAGGCCTGTCGACCCTACGACTTGGGATATTTTGGGGAGGGTGCCACTAAAGAATCAGGTCCTGCCTCCCGACACAGGGAAGGGTGTCCTTAAAGAATCAGGTCCTGCCAAAACACTGTTTTTTCTGAGCTGGTGTTTTGATTCTTTAGAGGCTCAGGGCGTGTCGACCCTGTAAAACCTTGCAGTTTTTCACAGTTTGGGGTATTTTTTGGGAGGGTGCCATTAAAAAATAAGGTCCTACCTCCGGACACAGTGGGTTTCGATGGATCTTCTAGAGACAATTGGTGTTATGCCTGGGGATCTTGGGGATTTCCGGGGACGTCTGGATATGAGAATTGGACTGGGTTGGAGCTGGTGTCTGATTCTTTAGAGCTATACCCTGCAAAACGATAAACATATTTATTTGTATAAATCAATATATGCAATTTGCTGCTTTTATCATATCTAGTGTCAGTTTGGTTGCGTTTATTGAGCCATGTTTTGGCCAGCACTTTAAACATTGACAAACTCAACTTAGGGTTCCAAATTAAATCTCTAAAGAATCAAGGGGGAACTGATAACCCGGGTTGACTTATGTTTTAGCCAGAAAAAAATCCAAGAGGGATAACACCATATGATTTTCAAACTCTCTGTTTTCAAACGCTCATAAATGTGCAATAGTCCGGCGTCCCTGAAGAATGTCCTTGTTGAAAAATCAGTTGAAATGTGTTGTCACTGTTGAAACTTGTTTGGCTCATCTGCGATACAAACGATGGCCGGCGCACAACAGCAGTTTTAGCAAATCGCAAAAATTCAAAGAGCTTGTCTATTGCCCCTCAAAATGCTCTCTCTAAAAAATCATGACCTAGGAAGCCTTTGCCAAAAATGTGGACTCCGGGTTAGCCATGTGGAAAAATCATCTGTTTTTGTATTAAAAAACGTTTTCTGCGACAACCCTGGTTGTTGCATTTTTTAGTGGAAATTCCAAGGGGGATCATTTACATGCATTCACTCATCACGTTTTCATCTTCCATCTCACCTTCACGTCTTCTGCTTGTGAGCATCTGTTCAAGCGGCAGGCAAGCTGGTTTTCATTTGACACACAATCCCAAAAACATTGATGAACATATCAAAAAACAAGTTCCTAGAATCTTCCTAGGAAGGCCTCTTAAAGAATAGGAGACCGTTAAACAACAGTATTTTCTTTAAAAAATGAAACTGTTTTTTTTTGCCGGCCAGGTATGTCCCTTAAAAGATACAGTTTTTAAAGACATCATGTCCTCCAGTCTTTAGGCTAAATTCCCAGGAGGATCTTACATACTATACCATTGTTCTATACATATGTGTGTTTTAGCTACATTATGTATTATATATATATATGTGTGTGTGTAAACAGTTGGTTGTGTGCTCCAGTGATCCCTATGTTTGTCGCTTGCAACCAAAAAAACGACTGTTTTGGTACATATTCTGGGTTTGTCTGAAGATAAAGTACTAAAACCCTATGGATTCTCATCATCTTCCCCATTTTAAAGTGCTAATTTTGAGATATTTTGGGTATACCCAATTTCAGGACCAACTCGTATCCTTGCTGATACGCCCAAACTCACAGCTGACATATCGCACGTCAGCGTGCCTCCTCAAAGTAGCGGCGCCGGCGAAAATCACCTCGTCAAAATCTAGGCGCGGATGGCTGAAGGATCCCAACATCCCGGGGGGAAGTCATCCCATTATGACAGTGTTTTGTGACTAAAAAATGGTGGATACTAACAAAATAAGGTAATTTTTATGAATGTTTAATGATGATGAAGCATCACATAAAATGAGGTACCTATTTTCAGACAAAGCCAAACAGAGATGGGATTCGGTGAAACGTAATTTCCTCAAGTATCTACCTAGGAGATGATTGGGGTCACAACACAATGAAATCCATGCTTCGTAACTAGGATCACAGAGATTTCACAAAACCTTCAAGGCGTAAAATCGTACATAGACCACTATACAGGCAAGATATCAAACATCTGTCTGACTGCCCATTTCCCAACTTCTCAGCTGTATCTACTGCTCCTCCCAACTCACAGACGTCACCGAGTGGCCACTGGAACGGGTGGGCTTGGATTCTCTTGGTGCCGTTACCGAATGACTCGAACTTGACCCCATGGCAGGCTAAGCGCAGTGCAGTGCAGTGCAGCAGCGGAAACGGCTGGAACCAACAGCTGCGGTGAATGGAGCGACAAAGCCCACGACAGCCTAGGTAAAACGTCGAAATTGAGGGTTAAAAACCCACAAGATACGGGGTTGAACAACTAAATACATGAGGATACGCTCTTCTAAATCCAACCAAAAGTTGGGGTGCACCTTTAAGCAGCTCAAAATGGTCTCCCGGCGGAAATATGCAGTATTTGGGAAGATTAAAAAAGGTGCCCAGTGGCTTTACATTTCCTCATTGGTCATTGATTCCAACCCCTTTCTTCATGGTTTTGATATGCTATATCTCACCGTTCTTGTTATTATTCCTTGCTTTTTATTGGCTTACAGCTGCCATTGTGGTATCAGTTGTCTCCCCATTTTTGGGAAGAACTGTCCAACTATGTCTGAAAGAAACCGACCAGCATTTTTGTTCAAGCCAACATGACAAGGTTGGAATTCCCTATAGATTCCCCAAGTCGTGGATTCCCATTGGGAAAATGCAACATCGACTCAGCAAATCAGTGACAAGGTCGGACATGTTTTCCCAGGCAGGTCTAGCTCGAGCCAATGTACATTGAGCGACCACGGGATCCTCGAGAAGACGAACAACAGGAGGTGCCGAGCATGACATTGCGTTGCTTTGGACCCTGGGATCAATATCGAGACTCCGGGATGTATCATATGTATATTATATATATATATGTATACACATATATGTATGTGTATATATATATATATATTTATAATTATTATTATTATTATCATTATTATTATTATAATTATTATTATATCTATATATATAGGATATGTAGATATGTAGGTTCGTCGCAGGATATCTTTACATAGCCCCACGATAACTGGGATGAGAATCTCTTTATATACAAACTTTGAGGATTGATGCTCACATTGGACCTATGGGGTATCGGCATCTGGTTGTTTGCTCCTCGGGCAAGAGTCACAATGGGAGCCCTCGACAGAAACGGCCATTTTGAGCGACATGACGACATGGAATCGCTAGCAACTGCCACCGCATGTCAGTGCCATCAATCCAACCACTCGTGTCTGCATGATTTTTCCGTTGCGTGTTTCTGAACAGGCAAAGGTTTGTCTTTCAATACATATCCTGCGACTGATTTTCTCTTTGCGCAACAAGAGACGTATCTTCCACCACTCAGTAGGAACGGACCAAATCCTTTGATTAGCACCATTAAGTGTACCAAATGCTTCAACCTTCCTGAAACTTGGGAGTCCCCAAACTGATGCACAGACAGAATGACAATTCTGGCGTGGTGGAGTTGCACAACTCCAAGTCACAAAGTCACGACGCTGGCCCCAACTTGCAGAGGATGTAGAAAGAACTGGCCGCCAAAGTCCAAACTGCTTAAATCTTGCTACCTAGACTGTGGGTGAAAATACCTGAACAATCCACAGATTCCATTGATTCCAACGCTTTCTTTTGGGGATCATGATGGAACCCTTACAGAAACAGCCGCATCCTCTGTAGGAAGGCAGCACAACTGCGGCCAGGGGTTGGGAAGATCAGATTTGAGTGGCGTTCGTGCCAATTTTCGTAGCACCATATGTCTCCAGCATCGCAAAGACACATCTCATGGGGTCAGGGTATCTAAGAGTTGAGGTTGAGAAAGTCATCCCAGTACAAGAATCCTATAGAACCATTCAATTCTATCTAATCCAGTCTAACCTAACCTAACCTAATCTAATCTATATAATCTAATCTAATTACCAATCAAAATGTCTCCAGGTCAAAGGCCATGCTTTGGGAACCTCTGGCACAGCCTCTCAAGTCTCGAACACTTTGGCATCCCTTTTTTGGCCCACAACAAAAGTGCCAGGCGCAGAAAATTCACCGCCACCAACTGGGCAGCTTCTGTCAGACCTAACCTCGGTCGAAACGACCGTGAAACCCATATGGAACCTGAAAATCACTAACAGAGAATCCTGCAGCATTCCATTGCTTCAAGTTTGCACTGAGCACAATGCCTTGCAAAATGAACCTTCGATGCCACGGATGAAGTGTGGTCACTGCCAATGCTCCCACAACCCGCAAAACTATATAAGTTCGAAAATTTTAGGTTTTCAAGTACCCACAGCGGACCATCAAATGGTTCAAAATTCAGTGGGCTGTATCCTCTGAATTTGGAGGAGAAAGATTCAAACATACCATATCTGGTTTGTGATATCGTTGTGTATATATATATAGAGAGAGAGATGTATATATATATATATAGATATAGATATAGATATATACGTGTATACATTTTTTTCGGAAGCGATATGCAGCTCATATTGAGCCACGGTGGGTATCCATCCCCACGTATACTCCCATACGTTGCGTCTCAAGGCCCGCCTCGGATGCCACAAAGAGCGCATCCCATGTCTACGGCTCACCTGTGGCTACATCGATGGACTACTGGAAACCTATGTGTTTTTCCTATCATAACAACCAAGGGTGTCCTATGTGATCTATGTGTCCTACATATATTATATCATCATATAAATCATATATAGGAATTGTCGAATCATGTCGAATCATGTCCATCTGCCTGGAGCCCCGAGGCTCAAGAACGCGGCATCCAAGTCAGTGCCCACGGATGCCTAACAGAAATGGAGAAATGGCGCATTTTTGGACCTTGGGATGTGCCTTGGGATACCATTCAGAGATATTCAGAGTGGGTTGTTGATGGTAAACCTGGTAAACCAAACAGAGTTCAAGGATACAATTTGTCTTTCCAGCTGGAAATCAGCAACTTCTGAGTACCAGCGAACGAATCTACGAGTCAATGGTGATGACTTGAGACCCCCAGGAATTGTGCAGCCCCATCCCAGAAATTGGTAGGAAACCTCAACGTTGGATGAACAAAACCAATCGGATAGCCCATTCCATGCACTGATTATTCATCAGTTGCCCAATAAAATTGCCATAAATGGGGATATATATATATATATGTGTGTGTGTGTGTCATTTTCGGAACTGCATATATCATATTCAGTTGCTTCTATCCCCATTGAATCCCCATTATTGGGTGTGGCCAAGCTCAACCCCCAACGGAACCTGCTTCACCGCCCGGTAGACGTACATGCCCGCCACCGGCACGCTGAAGCTCACCACGAAGACCTTTCCGATGATAGCCCCTGGGGCAAAATATAGTAGCGGAGATAGTTAGTTATGGATGTTCATCCCCCCTAAATATCTTGTATTTCTAGCTATTGATCCATAGCTACTTGGGAAAATCGAAAAAACGGGGTCTGCTGGGCTAATTGTTACCGAGGCCTCTTGCCTTTCTACCAAGCATACTGATACTGGCCATTCACCCAATTGTGTGGCAGATTGGCAAATGTTTGCAGAAACAAAATGTTCAAATCTGTGTTTCCTCAATGACTCACAGCCATTTTCTCTTCATGCTGTCAGAATGACAACCTGTTGGGCGCTGGGACATGAACAGCCACCATTCATGGACCCGCGACCAACGGCCCTGGCCAGCATCGTTCGGCTGAACTCCAGCATGCCACTCTTTGGGGCCTGGTGGCGGGACTGGTCCTTACATACCCATCCCATCGCCGGAACATGTGAAAACTGTGAAAACACCTTTTACTCTTGATGTAGCTGGACATGGTGAACACTTGACATTTTGACTTTGCACTGTATGTATGGATGGATGGATGGATGTATGGATGTATGGATGTATGGACGTATGGATGTATGGATGTATGGATGTATGGATGTATGGATGTATGGATGTATGGATGTATGTATGTATGTATGTACGTATGTACGTATGTACGTACCTACGTACGTACGTATGTAGGGATGGATGGATGGATGGATGGATGCATGCATGCATGCATGCATGTATGCATGGTGCAGATTTTATTTATCTATGTATATATATATACACAACACACATTATTTGATATTGAGGTGATCCCACCCTAATCCCCCACTGGCAGCCCCACCTTCTCGACCAGCGCGCTGGGTGGCGCTGCTCCGCGCCTCCGAGTTTGTACTTCGCTGGCGCCCATCTTCAGGCGATCAAAGGCGGCCTGGGGCCATGGTGCTTGGCTTAATAGAGATATAGATAGATACTGTACACGTACAATGTCTATATATATATATGTATATATATATGTATATGTGTATATATATATACATATGATTCTAATTGATTATATATATATATAGATATGTTCTACAACAAAGTCTTGAAATTCTCAGTGGCATTGCCTCTACGCATATCGTTTACAGCAAAATACTGAGTCGGTAATCTACCTGAACCAAGATTTACGAAGCACGGAGCCCCCCCGCCTTCATCTCACCATCAAAGACTTGGTCCCATTCTGCTTGCTCCTGACCCGAGGCTCCCATTCCCAAGCGAATCCCTATGTTTCTTGGCGTCCCCATGCCCATGAACAGCTGAAATGAGCCAACACGACCTGCCGTATGTTCTCCTGCGTGGGGAGAGCATCCACCAACGCTCCCATGCGTCCTCGCCAGGCCTAAGGGCTGATTCGGGCTGATCAAAATCAGATCCAACCGTGGGTCAAAATGAGAATTCCCCAAATGGATAGTTTCAGACTGAAAATGATAAGCCCATTTCTGGGTCCATTTGTACCTTGTTCCTGACCCACACCCATGGTTGATGTTGAAATCCAATGGTTCATCATTAAACCCCTCATTCTTGGTCCATACATCCCCACATCCCCTGATCCGATCGGCTGGAAAATCCCCCAGCAATTCCCCACTAGGCCACGCGGAATTTCCAGCCATGTTTTCACGTTTGATACTGGATACATTTGTTACATATCTATATATCATTCTATATCTATATCCCATAAAAAATCCTCATTACATTCCCACTATGGTTGGTGAATCGCCATGATATTCCCATGTCATTTCAGATGGTCAAAATCCTGGTACCCTAGGTATCCTTTAAAATAGCTGGTGAATGGATGTTTCGTCCCCTCAAATATGGAAATTCATAAGGTTTGACCCATCCCCAGGTGAAATCCATCGAAACCCGCTGCCCTGGGGAGCCCCGCGACAAGCTCGGTCACCGACTGCGCCTTGCGCGCACCCTCAGTGCTGGGCTTGGCGCTCAGCGTAGCCACAGGCGCCTGTCTGAGGGGTGTCAACTGGGAGGTTGGAATACGGATTTCAGTTCATTGTTGGAGATGGGGATGTTCAAACAATACGTGGTGATAATGGTTCATATACATGAATAACCAAAATGGGGGTTATAGTTTAAGCATAAAAAATGGAGATAATGGTTGATAATGGGGTCCAAAGTATCAAAAACCCTTGTTGATGTGTTATTTCATCGGCATATAAGCATCATTTATAGGGTTTTGACCATCAAAAAAATACTGTAGATGATATCATTGACAACTGATGATTGGTTGATGATTAGAGGGGGTTACCCAACAAATCAGGGATTGTCACAATGCAGGAAGCCCCATTAACCGCTTTGCAACCCAACAGGAGGTTCCACGGTTCCAGGCTTCCAGGGCTACATGTCTGTTTCGTTTTTTTGCTCGACAAAAAACGACGCAACAATCCCAAACCCAGGGATTGAAACCCAAGAGTCACTGCTGTCGGGAATTAACTAATATTTTAAGTAATTGTCCAATGTCCAATAGGTTTTTGGCAATGGTTAAATCGGTTTGAGCAAACTTGAGGCAAAAACCAGTGTTGTTTTTTGTATAATTACATGGAATAGCCATCTCTCGTTGTGCATGGGCGACTTGTGGGTCAGGACAACATCTTGACTCCCTTTCGTGGGCAAGGTGTTTTTCAACTTCTAAGAATGTTTTTTCCTTGCTCCGATTGTCAGAAGCCGTCGACTGCAACACTTCATACATGGAATACTTTAAATATGCTGGGCTTGACCAAAAAAGCCAACTGTAAGTAAATATCAACTACTTCTTGTCGTATTTTTGATTGGATATGTTGTTCGTCCAACCCTCTCATGGGGAGATTTCATGAGATATTTATCGGGGACGTAAGTATGACTATAGACATGGATATACATGGATTGTATTGTATTGGGATACATATATAAGCAAAAGGTAGGCCCTACTGGGGCCGCTGACCATATATATATATACAGAAAAGGATATTTCATGGGGATATATTTCATGGGACATATTCGAGAATATGATGAGGAATTATGGGTTTGACTCCCAAAATTGTCGCGTTGATGATCAGTTCCCTTACTTGCTGACCGTAAAATTGGCTATCCACCAATTTTAGATAGTTTGGGATCATTGCAGTTGGTGGTTTCCGAAATATGAAAACCACAAAACAACATTATTACTGATCATGATTGCTCTCACTTTCAGGAAAACTGAGCCTTGGATATTCTACATTGTCTCAGAATCAGAATGGAAGGTCTTGCATTGTGCGAAACACCCCTTCTGCCAATGCGTCGCCACTGCGACGGTAGTCTCTCTTGTAGTATTGGAAACATGTAACATGACTGTCTCTCAAAGTCACTCACACCGGCAAAAAAGAATCCAAATTCCACACTTGGTTTAAGGATGTTGTTGAAGGAGAAATCCACAGCACAAAATTTAGATGTAAGTTCACCATAGTTCCTGTAGATTCTGCTAACAAAACTAAATCCAATGGCCAAACGGGTATTGGTCAAAATTGTGGTACAAATGAACCCACCACACTGGTCAATGTTAGCAATTTTACTATTCAACCGATTAAACCATCCATTTTTGCGGGTTGCTTATTGTGGCCCATAGCCATGTTTTCACCACCCAATCCCGCAGTCACCGCAGTCACCGCAGTCACCTTGACCAAAGTCAAAGGATACGACGAGTCGGGCTCTACCGCAGCGTCCACGGCCTTCGAAATTGTGTCAAGGATGGGTAACAATAGAGCAGTCAAAACGCCTGTGGACTACTTGTTACAGAAGATTCTACTAACATTATAATATATATATATATATGTATGTGCATTTTGGGGATTATCACACTCTATTAGGCGAAATCCTATCCACCAACAATTGGTAACAAACATCCCTATGTTATGTGAAACATGAAAGTATATATAACATCAAATAAGACAATCAACTGATAAGGATAAAAGATGCTTTTTGACAAAGATCATACACCCATCATGGAAGCATCAAACCATAAAGGTTTAGGGCACTCTGATAGTTTTACATTGAGAACCACGACATGTTCAAAACACTCAGGCATCCCTTTATGTAAACTGCTTGATATTGATTCGCATTATTGGTTAGTTCATCATTCCCAATAAACCAAGTAGTATGACATAGATGGTGGTTACTGCTCAGATGGTGGTCAAGTGGTCACTGCTCAGATTGATGGCGCTGGTTGTCTGCCTTGCTGTCTGCCTTGCCACCCTTCTTGATGCGCTCCAAGTTCTCCTTGTAGTCCTCTGCTGAGTCAGGACTCAATCACCCCAGTCAGAGTAGACCTTCCCAAAAACAGGGATCCCAATAGCAAGAGATCCATTCATCCAGGTTTTCCCGGAAACTGGTCAATATGAAAGGGAGAAGGGATGATTCAAAGACTCCGGAACCCACGAATCCGTGAAACTCATCGACCAACGTAGATGTCCCCCTCCAAAAGCCCAACATGAAAGGATCCCGTACGGAAATGCTGGCCCATCAAGGAGTTGTCACATCACATCACATCAAATCACATCACATCAAATCACATCACATACGTACATACATACAGTACGTGTATATATATATACATGTATATATATATATATACATATGTACGCATATGATATGTATATACTATGTATGTTTGTTTGTTTGTTTGTTTGTTTGTTTGCTTGTTTGTATGTATGTATGTATGTATGTATGCATGCATGTATGTATGTATGTATGTACATAGGTAGGTAGGTAGGTAGGTAGGTAGGTAGGTATGTATATATGGATGCATGGATGCATGGATGTATGTATGTATCTAGCTATCTAGCTATCTAGCTATCTAGCCATCTAGTTATCTATTTATTTATCTATCTATTTATCTATCTCTCTATCTATCTATGTATGCATGCATGCATGTATGCATGATCTATGTATTTATGTATCTATGTATCTATGTATCCATGTATCTATGTATCTATGTATCTATCTATGCATGCATGCATGCATGCATGTATGTATACACATATAATGAAAAATTATCTGCAAAGCAGGTGAATGGCAAAATAGAGGAGCCAGCTTGGTATACCATTGATTCATAGTTTACCTATAGGTTGTTCAAGGGTGTGGTCATCAGCCGGGGGTTGGGGGATGAGTTTCCACTAAAAATTGGTTCGTTTGAGAGTCAAACTGTCAATTCACGGGGATGGTAGAACCCCACAACCCGTACATTTACCAACCCCTGCACAGCATCTAAGTTTTCTTCTCCTGGTCGATGCTCTGAAGGGTTGGCCCCTGGCGTGCCGGTTGGTCAAAAACCAGTTCCATTGGATCTTTCCAAAAAAAACCAGCCTAGGGAAAGGGTCGTTGCATCCCAAAAAGTGGCTGGTAAATGGCCCTGGTCAAGTTCTCACCAGAGTTTGGGCACCTGGTACATGTCAGGAATCCATTGCTTGGCAGTGTCCGTTTGCTTCTGGCGCCTCAGCCATGGGAGGCTCACCACTATCAAAGTCAATTTTTGGATCAAAATAGAAGATATCTTAAAACCTCCAACTATCCACTTGCAAACATATGATATTATATATATACACACATGTTATTACTATTATTAGTATTATTATTATTAATTATTATTAGTAGTATTATTATTAGTAGTAGTAGTAGTATTATTATAAGTAGTAGTAGTATTATTATATATATATTTATTTATTTATTATTATTCTCATTAGCATTATTATTGTTATTATTATTATATATATTATTACTATTATTTATTATGATTATATATGTATACGTAATTACATTATTATATACATAATTATATTATCATGTATATAACTATATATGTATTGTATACATTATATATATAGTGTATATTATTATCTAGTATTATGTGTATATATATATATTATTACTATTTAATATTATGTGTATGTATGTATATATATTATTATATATATACATAATTATATTATCATATATACATAATTACATTATTATTATTATATATAAATGTATGTATGTATGTATTGTATTGTTCTGTACTGTATTGTATTGTATTGTACAGTATTGTATTGTATTGTATTGTATATTATACATATGCATAGAATGTATAGATACATTTGAGTAAGTTCTTCCACAACTCTGCCCAACACGGCAAGGAACCACTGCTTGAGTTGCTCCTCAGTTTGGCAATCCTTGGCGTTGTAGGGCACCTCCAGGTCACCATGCGATGGGCTACTGCTGATCCTCTCCTGTGTTGAATGCTTGTTACACTTGAAACACTTGTGGCCTGTTCTGGCTCAGCAATGTGCAATAATTCACGACAATTGTTTTAAGGTTCAAGTGCATCTCTACCCTTTAGGTGAAGTTTCCCTGCTCATTAAAATAGAAAAACTCGGAAGGCAATAAGAAACCAACTTGCCAACCTTTATCATCTCATCGGCCAAACCCTACAAAGTGACCTTAAGGTCGTCAGCGCAAGCTCTCTGAGGAGGTGGCATTTTGTTGCTGCATGCTCTGATTCTGAAACTGCTGCCACTCTGACATCCAATCCTGTGGCAAGGTTGGACATGACCACATCACCTGCACTACCCCTCCATGGCTCAATGTTGCAAGCTGATTGCAGGCTGCAACTTACCACGAACCAGCTTAAGCGGGGCCAAAAACGGCCTTCTTGGTATACTTGTGGAACATGTCCATGTACTTGGAATAGTCCTGACAAAACTTTGCTGCTTGACAAAGCAGCTGCATCGTGGATATCAACAATGATCATCAATGATCAATGAATAGCCATGCATCACCATGAAAATCACGGACCATCACGCACCAGTCACCAATCGTTAACCATCAACCATATATTTGTCATTCTATGTCATCGAAAAATAGTCCAAAGAAAACACGAGTCGGAGAAGTCAAGCCCTTCGCCCCGAAACGCACGTCACGGCATTCCGCCACCACGACGCCACCATAGGCACCACTGGGACTTCACACCATGTAATGTCGGAAGTCGTTGGTGACACCAGATAGACCGCCTGCGGAACGCACCGTGAACGCTGCACATATCTCTTTGCAAAACGACGCCACTGCCTTTAGGGCCGCCCTCGGTTGTGTCGCTAGGGACCTTACAGCCAGGACCACGACCGTCACTTGGATGGAATGAAAGGATATAAAAACAAAATAGTGTGAATAGTTTTACCTACATGTAGTATAGTTCTCTGAACTTCATTATACACTACATGTCATGGCATGCACTGCATGTCATCACGTTACATATGTATTTGTGCGTATGTACATATCTAGAATGGCCGGATATATGTGTTGATTCTACGTGCAAGTAATAATCCCATCCCCTCAATATTAAACAACAACATGTTATGGTCGCAAATATGTGTTTTTGTCCCCTGCTAAACCATGGTTATCATGGTGTCTAGTTTCTGGCTGGTGTTTTATATTAGGGGAATTAGATTTGTAATAATTGCATAGTTATAAACCATTACATCCCCATTAAGGCACCATTTTTCATGGTGAAACCCCATTAACCCACTATGAAATCATAGCAATCATAGCTGTCAAGACAACCAGCGACGTTTTTAGCTTCATGACCTCTTTGGACCCGCAGCCAAAAAGATCATTAAAATAGAAGGAGATAAGGGGATGCAGTCGGATGCAATGGGCGGATGGTAAATTGCTAAAGCCATTACAAAATCAACCATGAATATGCCGAATATGCCGGAATTCCATGGTTTTCATTGACCCATACCCAACCGGCACGGCATCACTGAGAGGCCGGACGAACTTTCCGGCAAAGCCACCAAAGCCGGACGACTCACCTCACCCGAAGTCAAATGCTTCGAGAGGAGTCGGCACTGCAAATGCACCTATGGAATCTCAACGTGTATATATATATATACATATATATATATTATTTGTGTATGTATATATATATATATTATGTATATATATATATATACATATATTATGTATATATATATTGATTGTGTATATATATTATGTATATATATATTATGTATATATATATGTTATGTGTATATATTTATATATACACATGTGTGTGTATACACAGATGGAAATCCCCAGATTTGGGGTTGGAAAATCGGAATCAAACGAAAAAATAAGTGAAAGAGTTTCCCTGAGAAATGGATTGATGTTCTGGTAGTTTGGCATCTGCAAATCTCCCATTTTTAACTGGTTCTCCAAAAACTGGTGTAATGATGTTCCAATTTACGGCCAGAAAACTGGAGAATGGAATCTGAAGTGGATGACGTGGATGGAGATATTCCCTATTGTATTGATCCCAATGACGATTAACCACGGGATTTTAGGGATCCCAAATCCTTCAGTTGATGAAAAGTACCTCTGAGCAGCGAACCCTCATCAGATCCTGAAGCAGCACCCGCCATAGGTATGGGAAGATTATGGGAAACGAAAAATATGGATAAATACCATCATTGAGAGTCCCTAAAAATTCCATGGATTCAGCTGGAAAGAAGAAAATTGGATGCTTCAGTAACTCGGTACTAAACATCAACAAAATCACTGGTCTGCTTCAATCCTGTCCCACTGGAGCCGGTCCTTTGTCTGCTGCCATCATCGGAGCATCTGGCCCGCAAGGGAACAGCATGTGGTGAACTCTGTGGGCTCAACTAAGCACGGTTTGGGGGCCAGGGATCACCCTGGAACCCTGGATCTTTAACCGCCCACACGTTTTTGTTGCCGCTGTCGCATAGCAACTTCTGCATAGCTCAAGAGCAATTCCCTCCGAAAAACATGTATGTAATGTATGCATAACTACTAAAGTGCTGAAACATGAGAAGAAAAATGAAATACTCAAAAGGACCCGAAAAAAACTCTGGATCTTCGATTTCCACACCGGAAGTTCCCCAATCTTCCCCCATCAGGCCTGCACCACCTTGGCGATATGACAAGAACTTCTCAAAGTCCATGAAGTCCTGGGACAGTGAATGGCGAACCAGGCGGCGTAAGATACACACACACCATGTTTCCACCCAACACGATGTGGGCTTCACTAATTCCAAAACCATGTCTCAAGGGAAACAAAGTTGGGCCAAATCCAAGAGTGCCCTCTGGATTCCACTGGCGATCATGCTGAGGACAGAGGTAGAGTCCTTGAAGTGGGAGCTAGCATCGCCCTGTTGATGAACGCCCTTGCCCATGTAATGATTGAAATCCATGTACTGCTGGTAGTCGGTCAAGAACCTCAACAAAAAGCACCACCAAACCCAGACTTGATGCCAGAAATGAAACCGGCCTCTGCTCTCAGACAAAAGAATCCCAAAGTGGAAAGCCCCCAGGAGATAAAAGAGCTGGAAAACGTCCCATTCCAGCTACAGTATATGCGAATACCCTCCAACCCCAGACTCTTCGAAAAGTTTGCGATTTCCCGCAAAAAATCTGGCGGCCTTCCAGATTCCACATTACTTACTGATGGGCAGGCAGCCTCTGGGCATTTCTTGGGACCAGGGCCAGCATCAAAAAGTGAAGAAATTGGCAAATCAAAGAGAGGTCCAATCAACAGAACTACGCTGTTTTTTACGTCATATCAGTGATATCCATCTGACACCGGCTGCATCTGAGACTCCCGGACTTGTGAAATCCAAAGGGAGACTTGTTTCCCTGCTTGTGGAGATACTCCGCAAACTGCTGGTATCGCTCCCAGGCCTGCAGTATGGACATCCCATGGACATCCCATGGTTTGATGTCGCTGAAGTCACTCTGGGCCTCAGAGAAGGTTGTGAAGTCCGTTGCTCCCTTGCCTGCATTCACCATGTCCTGAGACATCAGGATCCGTCAGAATCCACTTCTCTCTGCAAAAAAAAGATACCAGTTGGATTTGTCTGAAAATAAGCCAAAACCTCAGGTTTCCTATTTAAATAGCCGCTTCTCGGGGGGGAGTACACCGGCATTCCATTTACATCCATGTACCATGTTTCTACGTTTCCCAAGTGGGGCCCGTGGGAAGAGATGTTGATCCAAGGATCACTTAGGACGACCTTTTGGATCATTTAGGCCGACAATCTTGGATGTGGATTCACACCTTTATAGGGTTTATATTTAGGGCGGGACTGGGGACTGGGGACAGTGGGGACAACTAGAGGTACAGGAGACGTCCTAAATCATATTGGGGTCCATTGGCTACACACCTTTACAGTTTATCTTTAGGGGGACTGGGAACCGCTGGGACCTGGGACAGGGGAGAGAGGGGATCACTAGAGGTACAGGAGATATAATCATATATAGTAACTATCTATCTATTCTATCTATTGCAAATACAACTGTAATGTATCTGTGACGTAGGCCTAAGCGAGCCAAAATCTAGGCCTAAGCGAGGTACTGACCATTCTGTTTCTCCATCCAAGGCCCTGTGACCCAGCCTGTCCTTCTTAAAGTCTTCATAGCTCTTGAATTCCTGGGCATAGTGTGCTACAGATCCACCACAAAAAAATGGGGAATTCAAACCCAAATCGTGGGGTGTTCCGAAACTTCAGAGACGCGCAATATGTTACGTCACATCATCTGATATACATTCTACGTGATAGTGTTATTCTGTTCCACTGCCCATGTTCTACGCAATATTTATGCTCTGTCATATAGTGTCAAGAGACATTCTACAAGTATCCCAAGTCTTACGGGTCTGTTGTTCACTTCAAGCTTTTTTGGTTATCTCTCAAGAATGTCCAGCTTTGTTGGTTGTACTTTGTGGCAACCTAACCTGGCCGGAAAATGTCCCCATTATAGATAAAATATAAGGGATAGGATCAGCAAAGCTTAGGATGGTATGATCACAAATACATATCTATACATGGATGCAGGATATATGTATGGATAGATAAGTAGATAGATAGGTAGGTAGATAGATAGATAGAATGGATGTATAGGTAGATAAATAGATAGATAGATCGATAGATAGATAGATAATGCATGTCCATATATCCGTCTATATCTATAGATGCAATCATACATTACATTTTTTTCTGATCTCCGTTCTTTCATGCCATTACACAACCATACTTTAATACCATACCAGCCATACCATAAAAACCATAGCCGTGTCCACCAACGGTTCTTTTTGGGTCCCCATTCCGCCTGAGGTGCGCCGGCCGCGACGGCCGTCGCCGTCGCCAGGGTCGCCAGGGTCGCAAGGCGCCGCGCCATCGCCGCCTCTGCTTGCATGGGCGGAATTCATGGTTCTTCAGTGAAACGCAATGTTTTTATTTATACATATTATACACATATTTATACTAACCATAGATCTAATGATATCCAATGATATCTAATGATATCTAATGTAATGATACCCAGTGATAATGTCAAACAATGTCCCGAACCACCTATTGTTGATGTTTTTTATCGCACCCATAAAAATGATAAAGTTGGGGATGGTTTAATACTGTTTTACTAAAATTATCTTTATATACACGATATCTACCGTTCTCCATTTTTGGAAGGTGAGGTTTTGCCACCCTTTCAAATTTCAACGTGACCAATGAACAAACATGTTGTTTTCATACCAAAATGTTGTTGGATTTATGATAGTTTATGATGGATGAATGGATTGGTTAGAAAAATATGTACGTATAGGATACCTTGGTTTTTTCCAGCCAAAATTTGTTGAGGGGACCTTTGAAAATGGATAAAAATGGGATCATATGGGAATATGAAGCAACAACCGTTGGGTACACGTCCACAATTGGATCAGGATTGAACTACCATGATTAGTGGTTCATCACAGCAGTAAAGTCCTGGACTGGAGTCTTGGGGAACCATCATCTCATCTGTTGAAACGAAAAAAAATACCGATCACGTTGTAAAGAAATTTTGGTTTGCAATTTGCGAATCAAGGGATTAATGTTTCCGATTAAAATGTTAATTTCCCCTTTGTCTACACTCCGTTCATGTACTACCGAATATGATTTGCAAGAATTTGATTGATTGTTTGTTTCCGTGTCCGAAACAATGATAAGGGTCATTGTCACACATTTCACTGCCAAACTTCCAAATCACAAAAAAACATGTTTTGGCAGGTCAAAATACCCATTCGAAAACATGAACACCTCTCAAAGACAACACACATCAAAATGGCCTTGTCGTGGCCAACGCAGAATTAGAGCCTTGAACCACAATAAGCTTCCCGGACCACTTGAGAATGGGCCATCAACCATTGATTAGGGGTTTATCGTAACACGGTGGTCCCCAAAAAAAAATGAATGGACAAGAATATGATACGCAAAAACAATGATAAGCATTTGAATTTAAAAATACCGTCTCTCAAAGAAAGGGCAACCCTCACCTTGTTTTCAACCCAAACATGCCTCAAATTGGTGATATGTCACGTGTCCTTTCGGACTCCCCCTTCGCCGGTCGGCGAAGGGAGGACAAGTGCACCTATTGTGCATGAGGGGCCCAAGGCATTTGTCCTATGGAGACTTATGTTGGCTATAGTATCATTTCGCCAGAGCCGTTGACGAAAGTCCCTTCCCTTTGTACTTGTGCCGAAAACTATTCCATGGGTTGACGCTGGATCCTTTCAGACCCTTCCATGGTCAGCAGTGTCTATGCTACCACTACTGAGAGCATCCCAACCGCTCTCCGCAGAAGCTACACTGCTAACTGCGGTAGCAGGATTTCCCGCCACACTTGCACTGCCAGTGCCCGACTGTGTCATGCTCTTCATTGATGTAGAAGGGCCATCACCAGTGCCACTCAAGCCCGATGGTCGGGTCATACTCATGGAAGCAGTATGTTCCACAGCGCTTCCAGGGCCCGACTGTGTCGTCAAATTCTTGGATGTAGCATCCACTCCACCACCAGAAGAACTGCCACCCCTGCTCAAGCCCGATTGTAAAACCAATGATTGGCCCATAGCGCCAGCTCTCGATGCAGAGCCCGATCATGTTGACACACCCAAACTCATAGCGCCAGCATTGGTCGCGGAGCCCGAACTTGAAGAGGTACTCCGCCTTGCAGCGCCATCATTGGTAGTGGAGCCCGATCGTGAAGACACCTTCCATGATCGCACACCGCTCTCATCCCTGCGACGTCCACCTGTTGACGCCTCATCTTCCGACGCCACAAAAACTCCACAATCATCGTGAGCTTCATGTCTTGGTCTTTCTCGATCTTGTAGGATGTTCTCCTCAGAGATTCGGCGCAAAACAACATTTTGACGTTTCAAAAAGGATCTGCCCAGAGTAGATCGCTCCAAGGATCATCAAAATAGTCCCCGTAGTGGAGACCCAGTCCGTGGCCTCATTCTCAACCTCATCAAGGCCAGAGCCCTTCGCCTGAGACACCAAAAGGCTGCCAGCGATCAAAACCCGTATCGCTGCTTGACTTCCTCCACCAGCATGTGTCTCACCTTCAGCTGCAGGAAGCTCAGTTGGAGTCCCGCTTCCTTTCATTCCCAGGTCTTGCAAGAACTTGAAAAATGATTGGCCTGAAAGAGGCTTCGTCGATCCATCCGCCACCAGCTCTGTGCCTCGCAAATGCAAGAGCTTCCATAGTCCCCTAGGCGCCGTGCAATCAATGGCTTCTTCCTTCAAAAATGAGGAACGTACTCGAAGATTCGTGTGCGCCAACTTGAGGTACCAGTTCCTTGTGCCACAGCTATCGCTGCAGCATTGTCTCCGTAGATCACCCTCTCTACGGTGCTCTGGCCCATCGGCTCTTTGATCATCGCACAGATCATGGCCTCCATCGATCGGCCAGCATTCAATCCCTCACAATAATCAATAAGCAACCAACTCCGACTCCGCCGTGCTGTAGGTGACGAAGGCTTACTGCGATGACTGCCATGCCGCAAAAGCTCCAGCAAAGAACGCAGCAAGTCCTTGAAGACTTCGATGACGGGAACCCGCACCAAAAAGAGATATCTGAAAAGATCTCCAGCAGCTTGCCATGCCCTTTCTACCTTCAACTGATTTCTCATCCCCCAAGTTTCTTCAGGCACACCTTTTGGATAGTGAAGGCCACCAGGATTTCCACGCGCATACTGCATGACCACCGTAGAAATCTCGATGGACTTGCGTGGATTCTTTGTTGCCAATCTGCATGCCGATGCAACACTTGCAGCTATGTCAGGTCTTCTGCGCTTTGTGAACCATAGCAATGCACCAGCCATAGATTGAGCCATCTTGATGTCAGACGGTGTCACTGGGCTTTCGGGGTCTTCATCACTTTCAGTGATCTTGTAGTTCGGGTACTGGAGGGATTGGTCTATGCAGAAGCTTTGGATCATCTTCTGTTTTTTTGTTTTTCCTCGGAGTTTGGCCGATTAAGCTCAGTGGTTCGGTCCTTTCATTGTGCTAAACAAAAATTCATGGTAACAGAGAAAAGCTTGAAGCCTCTGTACACAAACGCAGGTAGCAAGACAAACCGACAACCAATGAAAGCGTGGGGAAGAAGTGCACACCCCCCGGTCAGATATTCGTGTCTTCCCACGCAATCAAAAAAACACAACAGGAAACAGAAACCGAAAGAAAGGGGCCGGAGTCCAACACAAACAACCACAAAACAACCACCCAGGCACCAAGAGAAAAAACCCTTGATGCCTGCACAAAATCAAAGCAATCAACCGAATTCTAAGCCCTCACACTATACAACAGGGCAGATTACCAAAGATAGCAAAGAAATCAACTCTACCCGCCTAAATACAATTCTCTCAGAGTCCCCTCAAGAGTGCTTGTCCATGTCGTCGCAGTACATCATCATAGCCATCATCATAGCAAGAAGGGCTCCAAGTAACCAACAGCTGGCGTCACACAACGTAGTCAGGGTTGTAAAATCAAATCTAGCAGCCCCCCACAAGGGGGGGCAACCCCATCACGGTGTACAGAATGCCAAGGCAGGTTTCGGCAGCGGTCGCTGCAGTGGCCATCTCAGAAGACAGGGCCCACAGGGCAAACAAAAAGGAGGAATTGTGTGCGGCCTCGGGGGGGATTCACGGTGCAAATTCTACGCCTACCCCACTAGGAGACTTCTGTGAAAACACGATAGCGGCGTGGCAGCTCTTTTTCACAGCTCGGACTTGAGCCAAACCACACAGGTTTGACAGCTCAGTCACTCTTCTTCTTAGAAGAGTCGTGCAGAGTAAAACGCAGTGACACTCAAACGTTCTCAAACTTTTCAAACTAGATACTTCAAAAGAGTTCTCAAGCTTCAAAAAACGTTCTTCCAGCTTCTCCAAATAAAACGTCTTCAGCTCAAAGTCACAAATAACCTACAAAAATCCTACCAAATAAGTTCACAACATCAAGTTCCTAAGACATGGGTCAAACAACATCCAAAAACACCAAAAACCACAAAGACAAACGAAAATCCATCTCCAAGCTCTTCCATGCACAAACTGGTTCGATTTGGTTCCAAATTGGTTCCTACCTGGTTCCTATAGGTTCCTATGGGTTCTATAGTTCACAGATCGGTTCCTACAAACTTAAAATGGTTTCCCAACTGTTCACATGCACATGTATTGTTCCAAGATAGGTTTAAAGATGTTCAAGTAGGTTCAAGGTGGTTCAGTACACTATACATCCTCTCACAAAACTTTCACACTCCTTCTTGGACAGTAGTGCTGCACACCGAAGTACCTATAGACTCCATTTGTAAGCCAACTAAGTTCTGAACCCATACAACTAAGTTCCAGACATCACCAACTAGGATCCATGCTCAACAACTAAGCTAGGAACTAGCGCACAGAAAACTCGAAACGTCCTGTGTTTCAATGGTGCCCTCAGATAGATGGATGGTTTTCATGAGAAACGAGTCTCTTTGGCTCCATCTTGTAATCATCATAGGGCAGTGGCAACGGAGCAAAAACACTCAACAAACCATACCCTATCTTTCTAAGTAACCCACAACTTGGAACTGAGTTCACAACTTCTGCACAAAGTTTTGTTTGAAAACGTTTGTCATTTGGAAACCTTGGTTTTTTTCCCGTCCAACGCCTACATGGCTTCCGCCAGGTCGTTACACACGTTCGATCGTAGCAAAAGATGAATTGTAATTATCGTGCACGGCTGTCAATTTGTCGATAGCCACAAAAGTACTGGTAGTGGACCTGTACGCAGTCCAGTATGCAGTCCCAGCAAGAAAACCAAAAACACAAACCACAAAAGCAAACAAGCAAAAACAAGAAAACAACAAACCAACAACTGTCATTTGGAAACCTTGGTATTTGAAACTGTCCCACGTTTGGCATCAAGGGGAACTGGTGCCAATGATCTCTCCTCCGTTCATGCTCTAAAAGACCACTGGTTTAAAGAGTTTTACCTGGTCCGCGTCGCTGCACAGAACCGAATTATATAGAGAGGCAAGCGCGATGCATCAGGCAGAGTTTAAACAAACAGCGTGGAATGTACATAAAGTTTATTCCAGCCATGGTTCTGCCAGTGTACAGTTGCCCTTCCGGCCGCCATAAGCCACAAAGCTTCATTGAAACCAAAACGTTGCGCTTCTGCAACCTTGATACAACAAACTTCAAAAAATGAACCTAAACACGGTCCCAAAAATGGGACCGCCTGGCGGTCCCATTTTTGGGACCGCATGCACCGCTTAGTAAAAAAACAAAAGAAAAGCACTTTCACGGTCTCATTTTTGGGACCGTCTGGCGGTACCAAAAATGAGACCGCAAAATCGCAAAATCAACAGCAAAGGCCGACCCGTGCAACGAACAAAAAATGACAACTGCGTTTAGTTAAGCAACAAGCATATAGAGTTGGAACAGAGGAGGCCCGCACATGCGAAGCCTGATTTCAATTGACTTTCCGGCCCCAGAAATGGAACCTGAAAGCGCACATGTGGTATCAGCTGTCTCCGTTCCCTTGCTCCAATGCGGCGATTGCAATGCAGCACCACCCAGGCAACATTCACCAATCCGTCGCTACTCCGCCTACTCCGCTACTCCGTGGTATGTTTTAATTCAATTACCCAATGTAATTGACACGATATCGAAACGATGGCGGAGTAAGAGAGCCTTCAATACTTCACCTTCCCACATCTTTCCCTAAGCAGATTCTTACTCCATCCCGTTTTAAATTAATACTATTAATTAATAACGGGATTGACTGAAAAGATCATAATTCATGTTCTTTCTGGGCTGCAAACTTCGGTAGG